CTAGAGTATGGCAGTGTGAAAATTGGAGGAAGGAACGACTGTCTCGCGTTGCTTTCCACATGAATTCAGTTGGCTTTTGCTTCTACTCTCTTGGATATTAAGTATCGGTTGAACTCCTTTCAGACAAACTCCACGCTTGTGGTCTTTCTCCATTAATCAATAACTTTTTGTACAATTTCCTGTCAGAGCTTTTCTCATGGAAACTTCATAGATTCACGATTTAGCTAAGGTCGGTATCCACATTAATCCGGTCACCTTCAAATCACTGTAACTTTTGAAATATTACACGTAGGATTGAAAATTTCGCTGAGGTATAGCTCGGAGCAGTGCTGTGCATTATCATAACGGTTATTGTACCTTGACGGTCATCCTCGCATAACCGTAACATCTCAAAAATGACGGTCAACTAGCATATCACTTAAGTGCTGGCCAGACTGGATAGTTATAACATGTTATAATGGTTGTCAAATAATTGAAACATATAATCCATCATCAAGATAGCGCTATAACATGTTATTACTCTGTAGTCTGAACGTACTATTAGAAACACCTCTACCTCACTAGACCGTCTTCATAAAAGCCATCCATTAAATTAAATTAAATGACAAGGAGAGAGTAGCAAAACCATTCACTCACTGATCATCTCTGTTGGGCATTTATAAGTGGGAAGTGAGAATAATGCTCCCTCATTCTCCTGTTCTTGCTAAAAGTTGGCCCTAATTACCGTTGTCACTTCATGGTGCAGTGACAACTTATCACTCACGGTGAATTCCCATTTGATTTACATGGCAATCACTACACCGTGAGTGACATCTGGTCACTTCACTTCGTTTTCACCGTGAAGAGATTTATATCCGTTTATCTTCAAAAATTCCATTTCTTGCCTTGAAAATTAAAGCCACATTCAATTTTTGTGTACGATGCTTAATTAATCTCAAAACTGACACAACTCACAGCTCATCTTAAATTTTTGAATTGCTCCGAAAAATTGCAAAGACCATCATGAAACCAACAGCATGACCTTCGACAAACTCAGTGCGAAACTGAACTTTTTATAAGTGCGAACCTCAACCTGAGCTGGGTTTTAAAAGCAAACGAGCAAACTGACGTTTGTCAGAAAACAAGCAGATCCAATCTTGATACCAGATACAGCTTGGAACTGAATAATAAACGAATTCGCTGATTTTACTCCAGGCCCGTATTCAGTTAAACATTATGAATGCAAAATCAGTAATCAAATTGATTTCATTGAAAGCAGGATTAGTTTTCCATTTGCTTCAACAGTTTAAAATTTTGCTCTCATTTTTGCTGTGTTAATCGTTAAGTCAACCAAAATGAGATCAACTGGAGTATTCAAAATAAGTTACATCATAACAGCAAATTTTGATTTCAATTTGATCTTCAGCTTTGCTCGGGATGCTTCTCATGCTGAAAGACTTGAGCTTAAATCTCACCCCGGGCAAGTTTCAAATTACCTAAAATGTGTTAAACAAAACAAATAAACAATAATCGTTAGTTCAACGACAGATGAACTTAAATTAACTTTTAAACAAGACGTTAACAGCAGAACTTCAAGTTAAGTTTTAAGAGGTTTGACTGCATAATGAAAGCACAATATGATATCAGACTTATGTCTCGACAATTGAAATCAAAATAAGTTTTCATTATGATAGAAACTGCAAACTTTATTATCGATTTGCTTTCATTTTGTTAACCGACTTTGCTCGGGTTTCCTTACGGACTTCAAAGTAACGATTTGATGGATACCAATGGCTGCATTGATTGTTGAAACCTCAAGTGAAGAAAATGTATATTAATAATGAACCGTGCAATAATTCAAAACCAACAATTGAAATGACCTCAACTCCATTTTGTAAACAAACCTTGTAAAGCTATTTTGTTGCGAACCGAAGTCCGCCAAGGCAAACCAACAAAATTAACAGGTAGGGAAAATTCCCAACTAACAATTTTCACAATGTGCAAACGCTTTACTCATTTCATTTATACAGCGTCAAGCTGTATTCAAACGTTATACGATATGAGGAAACCTTTACTCAACCTCTATACAAGAAAATCTGGTGAACTTAGTCAGCTACTTTATGGCTGTTGAAGCGGTCGGGAGAACCTCTTATTGCATATCCATTAACGCTTCTATACAGCTGTTATCCTGCTGTTTAGTTGTGTGTGAACTTGAAAGGCGCTTATTCAACCTTTTCCCGGTTATCCAATAATCACTACACAGCTTTCTCGCGAAGCCGGGTTAAATACTGTTTACGCTTTTTTATGAAGGAATTTATTGAGTTTATTTTGCTGTGAATCAAATTAATCGAAATTAGTTCATCACTAGTTCAAAATAATCATCACCAAATTATTTACCCTGCACCCTGGAATCGAACTCGAGACGACCTCATTGGCAAACCTTGACACTACCAACTGTGCTACGCCAACACTTTGAACTTATGTAAACAAATCAACATTCCGTTCTACAACAAAATCGCTGAGTAGAGGCTTTATAATAGTACACATGAATCACTTTTCTCGACTAGTTATAAAAGAACAGAGTAAAAGCTGTAAAACTGCACACGTCTAAAAATAAACCAAGTTGACTGTGAAAATGCTTCCGAAGTTGCTCTAACACAGTTTATAAGCTGAGTTCAGGTTGTTTAGTTGTTGAAAAAGCACTTTTGATGTTTATGTTATTCAGCAAGAGTGGTTGGTTGTGTAGAAGTCATCAAATGAGTAATATATTCACTTTGTTAGCTTTGTTTTGCAGCTACAAGTTGAAAGTTGGGTAGTGTGTGTATAGAAGTGACATTAGCGTTTATTGGCTGATGTTATTCAGTGCGACTGACAAATTGAATAATGGTTGTGAGAAAGTTGAGTAAACGCTCTCCAAAACTATTTTGCTTGTAGCTGTATCTGCAGCTTCTTTTCAGCTACCTTACAGCATAACGCTGGAAAAGTTGGCTTACAAAGCTGAAAATGTTAGTTGGGTTCTCCTCTACCCGATTGTGTTTTAGGTTTTCGAATATAGGTTTCGTTTCACGAGAAAATGGCCTTACAATGTTTGATTACAAAATGGAATTGAGGCCCTTTACTCACAAAGCGAAGGCCTCCCACGCAAACCAACACCATCGTCGGATGGGGGAAACTTCTACCTACACGATGATGGTGCTGGTTTGTGTGGACGGCCTCCGATTTGTGAGGAATGGGCTTTGGAACGGATTGTTTACAAATGCTGATGGGACCTTTTCTATTGTTGATCTAGAAGAGGGATGGGGTGATTGCCATTTTCTAACGATATCTTTACTAGGGAGGGAAATATATCCGTGATTTTGGAAGAGGAATGACCGTCATAACCGTATTTATGCTAGAAATGAGATGACGATCAATCTATTGCGCATTTCACACCAAACTGGACTGATAAGCGCGTTTTCACTTATTAAAAGTGTGATTAAAGTGCGAGCTTCCGTCTAATCGTCTTGGTTCTTATGATGCAAGCAATAAGTGCTCCGAAAACACCACAACGATTTGACGCAAAGGTGCACTTTTATCACACTTTTTGCATTTTTGGGGCAGATGCAATCAGCAACATATGTCTGTTTATTTTTCCTTGGTGATCTGATGGTACCACATGACAGATGTTAGTGATATAGCGAATGAGTGAGAAAAGCAAAATAACGATATCTCACGGTTGTTGTGTCATACTGGTGAGAAGTTTTACGGAAAGAGGGTTCTCAGTTGTTTTGATTTTTTACCGTAGGAATCACTTTTGTCAATCAAAAAGCTGTCAGTACCGTGATGCAACTCAGCACTGGCTGGGAGTAATTCATGAAAAAGACTATGATTTGTGTTTAAATTCCATCTTCAGTGTCTAAGATGGCGGCGAATGAAAAACACGTGCGCGAGCGGATTTTGTACGAATGTACTGCAACTCCTGACATATCAATACAGGAACTTGCGATGGATTTACCTAAATCCACTGTTTACGGTGTGCTCAAATAATTTTCGGAACGTTTGACGGTCGAGAGGAAACCGAGAAGTGATAAAATCATTGGATTCTGTCATGGACCGAAAGGTGAAGAGGATATTGAAGGAAAACCCGATTCTCTCTAAAAATGTTACAGCTAAGTATTTCAGGACGAAGAAGGCATCGATCTAGGCGAGTAAGAGAGGTGACACAGTCGGAAGAAGTGTTAGTTTGTTTAACATCGTGCCATTATGCTGAAACTGTGATGGAGTGGTACGAAGCAAATCAAGTGAATATTGTACCAACAACCGCAAATCCACCAAATTGTCCAGAGTTAGTCTAATCGAAAGTTATTGAGCTCTAATGAAGCAAAAGCTTTCTGGACAGAAACAAGGAATGAAAGATATCAAACACTTCCAATAAATTTGGACAAAGACAGCCATCACGGTATCTGAGGAGTCTGTACAAACCCTAATGGATGGAGTTAGGTTCGAAGACTTGCAATGCTGTAACTTTGGTTGTAGTTGTTCAAACGATAAAAAAAAATCTTTTTTGCAATAAAAAGTTGATATACGGGTTTATATTTTCAAATTGAACTTATTTTAGAATTATATTCCCCTTTTTGCATTAGTGGGCTTGACGATTAATTGGATAGTAGCATAGTTTTAGCGTGCTTTGCTCACATAATAAAATTGACGTTTATGATGTTTTTAGGTGCTCTAAAGCACAGCTGTATCTGACTCACCAGGATGTCATATTGTCATATAAACTTTATTTAAAAAAAAAAACGTTCAAATATAACTCGATCCATGGAAAATACAGCTCATACTAATTTAATCAATTTGATTAAACTGTCAACAATAGTATGCAACGTCATGAGGCCCAAAAGAGTTTGTACGGCAAATTCCCTACATTTTTCAAACCCACTTTATGATAGAGATGAGTTTATTAACCGATTCGAAGTTCAAAGCAGCACAACCTGCTTCTACCCAAGCTAAATACTGACTGAAAATGAATAATGATTACTTACATGAATTGTCAACTAAATCTCGTAAAGCCTCTCCGGTATTGATATCTTTCCACGTCATAGACTGTAGGAAAAAGGAAGCACATAATAGCAAAAAAATTAACAGTTTTTACAACAATTCACCCAAACTAACCGGATCTATGGATAAACTCAATTGATTGTTCAAACGACTAGGCACTGGAGAAGCGTCATTGCTCATTTCTGCTATATGTGACGGAGGCGACCTGCCCCGATTCCTTCGCAGCGAAGAGTTCCGAAAATTTAAATCGGAACTACCGTACCCACCCATCGATGGACGAGAGCTTCTAGTATAATGGTTACTGCTAACGGTATCATTTATTTGATACCTTCCGTAATCCGACCCTCTCGTGTAAGCGTTCCTAGCCGGGCTACGGTAGTCATTCGTGCGGTAACCGGAAAAGCGTGAAACATTGCTGCCGCTTGCCGCTATCGGTGTATTGGTGTTGATGGTGTTATGGGACGTTATCGTGCCATGCGTTTTGCCGTAGTATAGTGAACTGATGTTCGAACCTGTACCATACTGGTTTGTGTCCAGGGTGCTGTCTTCACGGGAGTATGAAGATGCCTGAAACAATTTTGAAGAATAAATCCAAAACATTTTAAAATGCTGAAATAAGATAAGTATGGTAGCATATAGTTGGTATACTACTCGTTGCAGTTTTGGATCAAATATACATTGAGAGTATTATCTAAATAGGGAACGCAACGCGAGCAGACTTAAATGTACATTACTTCTTGTTGAAACATTACCCTTTTTACAACATAATCTACTTGACATTTTTCTAAGTTTTTCCGGGTTAGCTGTGAAGCTTTCGACTGGATCAGATAACCAGTTTTGCAATTTTTAAAATTGGTCGAAATCCGATCCTTACTGCATTGTGAAAATATTAGTAATTTACTACGACTTCCATTCAAAATCTCAATATTGTCAAAATCACAAATGGAATCAATTTGAAATCAGTAAAATAATACCGTTTATAAGCTATTGATATAAACAAGTAAGATCTACATATTAACATCAACCTCAAAGAAAATGCACCAGACAACGCGTTGCAACGGTTTATGTATGTGTGTTGACAGTTTTTCTACTGTAAATGAAAGAAAAAATAATAAAATAAAAGTAGCCCCTAATATAGCAGATTTGAAAATTGCATTAAATTTTCTATAAGAATTGATCAAAAGTTTCTAATGTGCGTAGCTCAAAAAAATTTGGTAAGTTGAGTAGTGTAGTTGAGAAGTGCAAAACGTTGTAACGTCACGCACCATAGACGCTCACCAAATCAATATGAACGACTCAATTCTTATAATAAATTTCTCACACTTTCCAAATCTGCATTAATTGTTTAAGGGATACTTTTCATTTTTTCCAGTAAAGTTGAGAAATCTGTCAAAAAATCTGTTTACTTGCCGGTAGAATGTGTCTCTATTGTTTATACAATTTAACAGAACAAGATCCTTAAACTAATTCAAAACAATTAAAATAGCGAATTCAGATTCGACAAAAGTGCAGAAATAGCACCACTAGAAGCATCAAATATCCTACGCAACTCACCTTATCATCATCATCATCTTCATTAGGATACACAATTGGTTCAAATTCTCCCGGAAAGAATTTGCACAGTTGGTTCATCTTATCGACTACTTCCTGCATCGACGGCCTGTTGGCAGGATTCTGAGTCCAGCAGTTTATCATCAGTTCCTCGAGAGGCTTGGGGCAGCCCTCGATTAACGGTGGTCGACTGCCCTGATGCACTTTCCACATGATGGCGTATGGATTTTCCATGCTCTTGAACGGTTGCTCCCGGGCAATAACTTCCCACAGGATGATGCCCCAACTGAACACATCGCATTTTTCCGTGTAGGTAGATCCTTCAAACACCTCCGGTGCCATCCAAGCGGCACTGCCCTTGTTGTTGGTCATTCTTGTTGACTTGTCTGTCACGGTACCGAAATCGCAGATTTTGAGCACTGTGCCATTTCGGACTAGCAACAGATTGGGTGGTTTTAAATCTCGATGTATCATAGCCTTCGGAGCCATGTCGTGCAGGTATGCCACACCCTAAAAAATAAAATGAAACATACAACATTGAAATGGCTTTATATATCGGACAACAGCAGAGTTTTGTATTGTTGTTAAGAAGAGTCAATGGCTATGCTTGTTTTGGTAAGAAACTATTCATGATAAACAATTCTTCTTAAGTTAAAGTCACTATGGCGGTTCACATTATTCGTAATAATGGTTAACACAGCCTAACCTACTCCAAATAAGTACTTAATCATCTTTCTAAACTTTGAACTTATTTGATTATAACAGAACATTTTGTTCAGCTCATCGATTTAATCTATGTCTTCCACCGAACGACTTCAGGCAAACTAGACATCCGTACAGGGTATCTGATATGCGAACCGAACTTTTTTTTTCGGTGGACAACATGTACAAGTACTTTGAGCTTGAGATCCAAAATGACCAAATGTTTACAAGTATATGAATGTTTGCCCATTACAAACAATTATACATAGTTTCATGCAAATCAGAGAAGGTCGAGTCTGGTCGATTTGTCATTTGGTGTGGAACTGCTCCAAAAAAGCTGTTCATGCCTGAGAAAGTACTTTAAAATGTCCAGATCACAGGGGTTTGCATAACGGCTTCAGCCTCTGGCCTAGAGATGATAACTCGATCACCGCAGTCACACTAACACAAAGTTACCAGGTATTTGCTACTTCTCCTTCCTTCCACCACACAACGAAAACGCTCTTTCCGGTGCCCCCTGTCCCATTCAGGACAGTTGATCACTTTATCCGCGCTAGGAAACTATAGTATACTAAATCTCTTTTTCGGTCTTAGTGGGAAACTCGTGGGCAAACACACTTCACCCGCGACGAAAGATCACTAGTCCCTTCTTTTTTTTCAGACTTTGCAGAAAACAGAACGACAAAACAATTTCACTGACTTTAACTTTAGTCGACCGGGCACAGGTACGTGATCTACTGAGCAGAACTGTTGCTGCCGAAGTATCTAAGCGAACGAATGCCGCTGATACGCTTGTATGACCAACTTTGAGCTGGCAAAATTACTTGGATTTGTGCCACTCCAAGTAATCAAAATGAAAATGAAATCCCGTCCTGGCGATTCGCGCAACGGGATTTCTAATGATTTTTATTTAGTTCACTTCAAGTCTAGTAAACTAAACAACCTCAAGGCCTTAGAAAAAGCTAACCTTATGCTCCATGTTCGAGTGAAGTGGGAACACTTCAGGAAGACTGGAGGAAATTTCCAAAACCTCACTCAGTGCCGTAAGTGCCAGGGATGGGGTCACGGAACTAAAAATTGCTACATGTCAGCTAAATGCATGAATTGTGGTGATTCCTCTCACGCAAAGGACAACGTCCTGTGAAGCAAAATCCTAAGAAATTTAAATGTTCAAATTGTGGTTAAAATCACAAATCCAATTTTTGGGAATGTAAGACTCGCAAAGCGATCCTACAATCTCGTTCTAAGCGACAGGTAGGAAATGCTTCACGTTCCCGATCAGGTACAAATTCTTCTGCTGTTAACAACGGTCAGCGAGGAACAAATTCTACATTCGTACCCGTAGGTACAAATATCACCCCTGTTTCAAATTTTTCATCTGTACCTACTCCCCTCACTGCTAACAATGTTCAGCGTGTTAATGGAGCTACCTATGCTGCTATTGCATCGGGTAGAAATCAAAATACTAACCAACGTTATTCTAACGGAAATTTTGACAATTTTGACTTTGGAAGCATTACTGCCCCTAAAATGGAATTTTTACAGAAATCATTAATTGGCATGATTTCTTATATGCTTAAATCTAACTCCATGTTTGATGCTATTCAAACTAGGGTAAAATTTGCAAATAATATTGTCATGACTTTAAAATTCAGTAATGGATTTTAAAGCATTAAATATTTTAAATTGGAATGCTCGATCTCTTAAAGATAATGAAGGTCGAGCTATTTTACTTTTTGAGAGTTCATAACGTGCATATTGCCGTTATAACTGAAACGTTCCTTAAACCTGACCATAAGGTTAAGAAGTACGCAAATTATTTGATTTATAGAAATGATCGTCTTGATGGACCCTGGTGGCGTTGTCATCATTGTTCATAGACGAATCAAACATAAAATTCTTTCTTCATTTGAAACCAAAGTTTTTGAAACTTTGGGTGTTTCTGTTGAAACAAAATTTGGACAATTTACGTTTATAGCTGCCTATTTGCCATTCCAATGCGTAGGCCAGCAAAAGAATTTTCTCAAGGGTGACCGTCAGAAACTTACCCGTCATAGGTCTAAATTCTTTATTATTGATGATTTTAATGCAAAATACCGCTCATGAAATAATGCTCAAAGCAATCCAATGCTAATTTTCTGTTTGATGATTGTTCTGCAGGTTATTACACTATTAAATATCCAACCAGCCCAACATGCTTTTCTTCTGCAAGAAATCCCTCCACTATTGATTTGGTCTTAACTGATTCATGTCAACTTTGTAGCCAATTGGTTACTCATGCTGACTTCGGTTCTGATCACCTTCCAGTAACTTTTGAAATATCCCAAGAAATAATTTGTAATCCCAACAGCTCTACTTTCAATTACCATAGGGCTGATTGGGAGCAATATCGATCATTTATGGAATATAACTTCGATCCAAACATTCCTTTGCAAACCAAAGATGAAATTAATTATGCTCTTGAATCTCTGACTACTTCTATAGCTGAAGCAAGAGCTGCCTCAGTACCAAAAATGCGAGATTAAATTCGATTCAATTATAATAGACGATGATCTTCAGCTCTTGATCCGTCTTAAAAATGTCCGTAGGAGACAATATCAAAGAACACGCGATCCTGCCATGAAAGTTATCTGGCGGGATTTGCAAAAACAAATTAAAAAGCGATTCTCTGCCCTGAGGAACAAAACTTTTGAAAATAATGTTTCTAAATTAGACCCGAGTTCCAAACCCTTTTGAAAAAACCTCAAAAGCCAATTCTAGCGCTTAAGGGGAAGCTGACCGGCCCAAAAATAAAAAAATATTTTCGGTACGTTTTTATTTTTCTAAAAATATTGGGAAATATTATCAAAAATCCAAGAAAATCAGTTTCTTCCTTAGATTTTTGTCAAAAATTACATGTAAAAATTTTTTTTCTATCCCATCATGAAAAAAAATTGGACTCTCAGAAAAACCGAAAAGTTGATGTTTTGTGGTTTTTTGAGTCCAACTTTATGCCATGATGACTTATAAAACATGTTTTTGCTCGTGAATTTTCTTTAAAAAATTAGAAAAAATGTGATTTTTTTTAGATTTTTGATAGTTTTTTTTCAATATTTTTAGAAAAATCAAAACGTAATTATTTTTTTCGAAGCGGTGAACTTCCCCTTAAAGAAGGTGGTAAAATTTTGTTCACAAATTTGGAAAAAGCTCAGAAACTTGCTAAGCAATTCGAGAGTTCCCATAATTTCAGTTTGGTTCTTACTAGTCCTATTGAGAATCAGGTTGCTGGGGATTTTCTGAATATTTTCTCTCGGGAAAATATTTTTGATGATTCCTGGGGGACTGATTTGGACGAAGTAAGGTCTATAACTAAAAAGTTTCAAAATATGAAAGCTCCAGGTGATGATGGAATTTTTTATATCCTCATCAAAAAACTCCCAGAGAGTACCTTGTCTTTCTTGGTAAAATTATTTAACAGATGTTTCCATTTGGCATACTTTTCTGATAAATGGAAAAATGCAAAAGTTGTTCCAATTTTGAAGCCGGATAAAAATCCAGCTGAAGCTTCTAGCTACCGCCCAATAAGTTTGCTTTCTTCAATAAGTAAACTTTTTGAAAAGATAATTTTGAATAGAATGATGCTTCACATCAATTTGAACTCAATTTTTGCAGATGAGCAGTTTGGATTTCGCCATGGGCATTCAACTACTCATCAACTTTTAAGAGTTACCAATTTAATTCGTTCAAACAAATCTGAAGGCCACTCCACTGGAGTTGCTCTTCTAGACATAGAAAAAGCATTCGACAGTGTTTGGCATGAAGGTTTGATTGCTAAATTGAAAAAGTTTAATTTTCCACTTTATATTATGAAATTAGTTCAAAATTATTTAACTGACAGAACTCTGCAGGTAAATTATCAAAATTCCAAATCTAATCGACTACCTGTTAGAGCAGGAGTTCTTCAGGGTAGCATTCTTGGGCCTATATTGTGTAACATTTTCACTTCGGACCTCCCTGATTTGCCTCAGAGTTGCCACAAATCTTTGTTCGCTGATGACACAGGCATTTCCGCTAGAGGAAGAAGTCTTCGTGTTATTTGCAGCAGACTGCAGAAAAGTTTAGATATTTTCTCTTCTTATTTACAAAAATGGAAGATTTCTCCTAACGCTTCCAAAACTCAACTTATAATATTTCCACATAAGCCTAGAGCTTCCTTTTTGAAACCTAGTAGGGTTTTTGATCTAATTTCCGTCCTATTAAGCACAACGCACACTTTACCTCTCTTTCCTGAACGAGTTTAAACTAAAAATGGAATATTTCTGTCAAAGATCACTTCTTAATTTATTCTCCTTTCCGTACGTACCGTTGGATTTGATAAAAAGCCACAAATTGTTGAGATATTGTTTGAAATCTAATACTGCTTCTTGATTCTAAATTCGTTCTACGAGTTTCAATTCCGTCCTAACGCATTGAAACGCCATTAGATTTTCTTCGTCCTACGGATAAACGGAGAAAAACGGGATTCGCAGGGAGCGCTTCTTTTGTTTTGAGAACAATGAGCGTAAATGTTCATACAATGCGCTCTAACAGGATTTATGATGTAGCTAATGAACTAACGCATCGGAACAAATCTATTTTTGATTTGTGCACGGTGAAATCATTGATATTATTGATCTTTTCTGATCGATAGAACGGAAATGGGCGATTACGACGAAGTAGCGCTCTACCCTAGTAGTCACATAAAGGGTGAACATGAAATTATTGCGACACATTCAACAGGGCATAACTTTTTTACCATTGGGTAAAAATCAACCAAATTTTGCACGCTTTCTCATTGATGTGTATTGTGTACATGCTGTCAAACTCGAAGTCGTGTTTTTCGATTCAACGACGCGACGTTGAGAGAACAAATTCTTTCCAAACACCTGGAATTTCCTGACCTGTCGCACCGGCAGTTGGGAAAAACGTTGAACATTCACCATTCAACCGTCTCCAGAGTGTTGAAGCGGTTCCAGGAGCGGTTGACGTTGGACCACGGCAAAGGAGCTGGAAGAAAACCGGGACCGCAGAACAAAAAGACGGAGGGAAAGGTGAAGCGGATGATTAAAGCAAATCCCAACGTCTCAAGCCGTGATTTGGCTAAAAAGATCGGCATGTCGCAGAGCTACGTCCAGAATGCAAAGAAGAGAGCTGGACTACATACATACAAGGTACAGAACTTCCCAAACCGCGATGAGCGGCAACAATCGACGGCTAAAACTCGGGCACGGAAGCTCTACGAGAAGATGCTGACAAAATATGGCTGCTGTGTGATGGACGACGAAAGGTATATAAAAGCCGATTTTAAGCAAATTCCGGGGTTGAAGTTTTTCACCGGCAAGAGCAAGTTCGATGTGGACGACAAATTTAAGAAGAAGAAAATGTCGAAGTTCGTCTCCAAATATCTCATTTGGCAGGCCATCTGCTCTTGTGGACTGAGGAGTGAGCCTTTCGTGACAAAGGGCACAGTAAATGGCGAGATCTACAAATCTGAGTGTCTCGAGAAGCGCCTTTTGCCGTTCTTGCAGCAGCACGACGAAGGTCCGCTATTTTGGCCAGATTTGGCATCATGCCACTATTCTAAAAGTGTCCTGGAGCAGGGTTGCTTCCACTCACTTGCTATAAAAAAATGTTTTTCGGAATTATGCAATCATTAGATGATAAAATGATATGTTGTACTTGTAAGTAACGAGAAGAGGGTTTAAAGAATGTGTTTGACTCATAAAATTTGTCAATTTTGATTTCAGAGCGTCACAATAAGCGATCTTATGATTCGTGAGCGTTCACTCAGAGTGAACACTCACGAGTCGTAAAATCGCTGATTGTGACGCACTGAAAGCAATATTGATAGATTTTATGTGTCAAACACATACTTCACGTCCTCATCTTGTAACTTACCAGTTCTAATTATCACTATACCATCTCATGATTTCATAATTCTGAAAAACATTTTTTTATAGCAAGTGAGTGGAAGTAACCCTGTCCTGGAGTGGTATGAGGCCAATTCTGTCCATTTTGTTCCAAAGGACATGAATCCGCCAAACTGTCCGGAGCTGCGCCCGGTGGAGCAGTACTGGGCAATAATGAACCGGGAACTTCGGAAGAGCAAGAAGACAGTCAAAGACGAGAAGGACATGTTAAGAAAATGGAAAAAAAAACTGAGAAACTGGTACCGGATGACACTGTAAAGACTTTGATGGAGGGCATCAAGCGAAAATGCGTTCAATTTTACACTCAACGCTCCATCGATTAACTTTTCTTTTGATTTTTTAAGTAAATATATGTATAAAACTACCCTAAAATTTTGGTTTGATTCTAAACATTATAAAAAAATTGGCATGACATTTTCGGTGTCGCAATAATTTCGTGTTCGCCCTTTAAACTCTTAATATTTAAACAAGTTTTTAGACCGGCCATGCTTTACGCTGTGCCAATATGGTCTAGTTGTTTCATATCCAGGAAAAAAGCACTTCAAAGGATTCAGAACAAAGTTCTGAAGATGATGAGATGCAGGTTTAAAAAACCTGTTTAAAATACTGAATTTCCAAGACAGGAACAATGTAAAAATACTTAGATATATATCATAACAATTAAGGCTGGTAAGTTACTGTAGTAACTGGAGCACCTAGGTTAAAATGAAATGTAATTTATTTTGAATTTGAAACAAATAAATAGCTAAAAAAAATAGTGATCAGATGGTAGTAAGGCAATTTGCTCTACTGCGTAGAATATGGTTGCTAGTTCCGGAACGTATACGTATACGGAACAGGGTTTTTGCAGTTGATATGAGGCGCTATGAAATTAGATGAATATTCCAAATTAAGTCGAAGCATTTATGGTTGACCCATCTGTGAAAAAAAACTTTTATCGTTACTTACATGGTGGTATTTGATTGCAAAAATTGGGGAAACAACCATTGACCGATGGTGATCTGGTATTCCATGGATTTCTTGCATCATGGTCGGATTAAAATTTACAGAGGAACAGAGGTTTGAAAGCAATCACGATTGGAGATTAATGAAGAAGGACCAACCTCCAGCCATGTACTCATAGTACAAACTCATGAATCTTGTTTGAGGATTTCGGTCGAGCAGCTTCTCAAAGTGTTCTATTACCAAAGGATTCATTGCTTCACAACGGATGAGAAACCGGAAAGACAGCTCAGCGAAACGATCTGTCAGTGGGAGAACACCCGCGAGAACTTCGAGGCTCATCGTATGAGTCGAGTACATACAGCCTAGCGCAATACGAAGGCAACGGTATTGGATCCGTTGCACCTTAAGGATGTGTGTTTTTGCTGCGGATTGGAAGCATAAGTTGTCGTACTCTAAAACCAAAAGGATGGTTGTTCGGTACAACCTGATCAGATCTTCCAGGTGGGCCCCCCATCAAGTTTTGGTAATTGTACGAAGAAAATTAATAATTTGCTGGCATTTTTGTTTCAGATACGCTATATGTTTCTCCTTGTGCATTTGGAATCGAACCAGATACCTAAATACTTAAAAGAAATACTTTGAGTGATTGATTAGATGAAGCTGTAACTGTGCAGGATGATGCTTCCTAGAAAAAAACAACCAACGCATTTTTCTCCGGAGAGAATTCGAAGATACCTTAGACAATTTGTCTACTTGGCAGCTTCATAGGGCATAGCCCAAGTAGACAAATTGTCTAAGGTATCTTGCAATGGTCCTTGCAGGTCCGGTTTACTTGGCCCTATAACGGACATATATGTGCTTCTATGTCAGAGTCTTATGTTACGAAGATGTACTCTCGATTCCGCTCCCGTCTGGAGAAGGTCATTGAGAATGAGGGTGCACATATCGAATGAATCTATTTGGTGGTGGTTAATAAACATACTTGAACCAGAAATTTGTCATTTGTTTTGATCAGTATGCGCTCACGCTGAGTAGATAGAAAGCTTGCGATTTTTCGAGCATTCATGATTGAGATGTAGATGTGTCGCACCCCCAAGTATTTGTGTGTTTGATGCATTTAGCATCTGTATAATTCCAATAAGAACCTCTTGACTGATAGTCTTGTTTATAAATGCAACCAATCAACTAATGTATTATAATGAACCACCATGATTTCCCAGCTCCTTAACTAATTTTTTTTTATGGATAATGAAGAGTCATGATAAAATGTATCTGGTCCAAGAAATAGTTTAGATGATATCGGCTTGGATAGTTCGTTTGGTTTTTTCAATGTTAAAATTTACTGAACATATAATACTGTTGTTACGTTGAACAACAAGCTGCTTATAGCTATCAGAGAAGATACACTCAGAGATATGGGGATAAAATGTCCGTGTTATGGATTATGTCTATTTAGTCTTTTGTCAAGGTGCTGCAATTGATGCTTGTTAAAAATGCTTGATTCTTGTTAAGATTGGTACATTTAAAAAGCCAAACAAATTCCAGTTTACCAAATACAGTACCTCGCCGTTTTTGGCAACACGTGATTTTTGCCTTTGCTTTCTAGAAAATTTATGTATCGCTTCATTCAATTTGTGATCGTACTAGACCAAAATGGAGCAAAATTGGCATACTAATTTCATTCACATGAAGCATACATTTAACCTTTATTAAATGTGCTCTTCTTCAATTGAATTTCAAAGGATCACACCTGATGATTATGTGGTGCATTATGCCCCAATATAGAGTAACTAACAGTAATGATGAAAATAACTAATTTTTCAAATAAACTTGCCTGTTTAATGACTTGAATCAATAAAATCGTTTATTTTGATAGTGGTCAAAGATGCCAGACGATTGAAGAAATTACATATCTTGCATACCATTCTTCCAGTATTGAGATTTATTTGAAAACTTTTAGGTTTCATTCACATAGTACGTTTAAAATTCAACATATGGTGGCAATATTTCTCCACCACATCAACTAGCAGCTGAAATATAAAGGGGCGCATTTTGCCCGCTAGGGCGCTATTTCCCCAATTATGTTTTTAAGATCCAGCACTCACCTCCGCACACTGTCTCGCCCAGCTCATGGCATGGGCGGCCGTATAGAAAGGCTTTGGCCGACAGTGCAAGGCCGTATGTAAGGATCCGCCATCGGCATACTCCATCACCAGGCAAACAGTTGGGCGCTTCGTGCAAGCTCCGTACAGTCCGATGATGTTCGGGTGAGCAACCCGGGAAAGCTGGCACACTTCAGTGATAAATGCATCACGATCCGCTTCGACTTCAATGTACTTTACGGCAACAAAATTGTTCTTCCATTTGGCTTTGATGACAATTCCGAAGGATCCTTTTCCTACTGTCTGCAATGGTTAAGTGGAACAATAAATAAACATTCAAACATCCTAATCGAAAGGACCAAACCCCGATAGTTTCTATTTCATTGATATCAATTTCAGTCACAAACGAAGGCAGTGAATCGGTCATGCTTTGCCTTTGCGCTGCCATAGGATGAAGCAGGAATCAGGAACCGGAGAAGTGATTTACCAAGAGCCGGATAAGTTTGACTAGATACTGTGTTGATAATAATGATTGTACAAATCAAGCCAAATTGCTTAAAGCTAAAACGCGAAATGACACTAATTGATGATAAATATCCACACAATGCACCTTAAATCTATGGTTGCAATTATTTCTGCTAGGAACCACGGTAGAATAACGCGTCAAAACGGAATAAAATTCATTATTTACAATAACAAAAATTTATTGGAAACGGCACACCAGAAGAATTTTTACGTTTGACTTGACGTTTTGCTGGCTTTTTCGTTTTTGCTTTCGTACATCGTCGAGCAGCTGTCACGAATAGCACAGCTGATGTGTTCTATGGAGGAACGAATGAAAATGAATTTTGTGGAAGCGTTTGTTTTGCAATGGGTGTGTGCTGTGTTGAAATGGTAAATTTATCTTTAATTTGCACATTTACTTTAAACGAATATGTGAATTTAAATACAAAATTCCATGGTACAAACAAACAGACTTAACACTCTCATAATTTTCATCGAATAAGTAATTAACGGTTAATTGAAAGATTCCTTGATTGGTAGCATCGCCACTTGTGGCGCTCATAGTCAACTGCTTTGGCGTTTGATGTATAAACATTACCACCATCTGTTGAGCGTGTTAACCATGATACTGCATGTGCCCTCTGCTGGCCAGGGAACGGTCGTCGGGAAGATCTGGAATATCATTAAAAGTGGTCAATTCGTTAAAAAGATTCTAAAGCTCCACTGCTTTTTTTATGCACTCGTTGTGATGCTGCATGAATAAGTTTGGATCTAGAACTAGCATGTGCTGACCTATCCGTAATAGTGGTAAATGCGTAGCAAAAGATGCCAGAGCTCCGCAAATTTTTGGTAATTCTTTGTGGAGGTGCTACATGAATTAATTTGATTTGATTTTTTTTTATAATCTCATTTACTTTCATCTCGATTGTTAAATCAAGATTTAAAGCTTCACTGTTTGACTCAAAACTAACAAATTGACAGCTCGCTACCATACAAAGTACCACCAACGGGTGATAAGATCACCTTTAAGGCCCAAACGCAATGTGGACGGAAGCGGAACGGAAACGGAAAGGTTGACAGTTGTCACAAATGACATCAAGAAGTCTAACCGATGTCGATTTGGTTTTAACTAGTTTTCAATCCGAAAAGTAGGCTTACTCAGATCGGGCTTTTCCGCTGCCGCTGCCGTTCCGCTTCCGCTGTCATTGCGCTTGGGTCTTTACTGATGTTCCGGAGTGCACATCCTGGTTTCAAATCCAAATTCATCCATGCAGCATCACAACAAGTTGTTCCAAAAACTCGTGGAGTTCTAGATTATTTTTTACAAATTATTATATAGCTGAAGATGTCAAGTTTCAAAGAAAAGACTTAAAGTGGTCATTTTGTACGATAGACGAGGAGATGAAAAACTTTACATAAACCCAAAGTTTAATTTTGATGTCTACATCAGCATCGAAATCAAATGTATTCCTGATATCAAACATTAGAAAACATTATGATTTAGTTGTATTTAAGCAAGGTAACATGGTGTATACATCAGAAATTTTGAAACAAAATGTTGCTATTCTAATGTCGTTCTGATGTCAAGAATTTCAATCTTTCGACATTACAACCAAACGTTTTAGCAGAGATGAACTAACCATATGGCTAAACATCTTTATAATAAAGTTGTATGACGTTTTAGGAACGTTTTCGGATGTACATAACGTCAGAACGAAACGTTGTTCGGATGTTTTTATATGCAAACGTTTTCTGATGTTTTCTAACGTAAATGATTCCCTATGTTAGAACCAAGTGTTTTCGGATGTTTTCGGATGTAAAAAACGTTAGACCTTAACGTTGTTTGGATGTTTTTATATGTAAATGTTTTCTGATGTTTTCTAACGTAGATGTTTACCGATGTTAGTGTTTGTTGTTCTCTGATGTTTTCAGATGTAAAAAAAACGTTTAAATTAAAAATGTTTTCAAATGTAGATGTTTACTAATGTTTTTAGATATACATAACATTAGAATCTAACTTTTCAAATGGTTCAATTATATTTACAACACAATAGAATTATAAACATGATCGTGTAAACACTACACACCATTGTTGTTAGATACCACCATAAAAATGCGTACATAATAGTCAATGCTGAAGCTCCCGTTTCCCACCGGTCAGTTAACTGACCTTAGCTAACCTAATATCATTGCGGAAACTCTCTATGCGCCAGGGGAACTATGCCATTAGCGCGCTAAGAGTTATTAGACCACTGACATAGGCGCCAATTTGTGGGTGACGAGGCACTTGGTGACATTACAGCGAGCTTGGCGATTGTTATAGCATTTTTAAGCGAACTACCATGTAGAGATCGAAGCGAACTTAAAATCCCATAAAAAAAAAACTCGAAACCAGCGTGTAAAATGTAATTGACCAGAATTTCACTTTGTCTGGAACTACAAACAGAAACGATCTGACATCGAATTTTTTGGATCTCATCTTTTTCGCTTACGTTTACTTTGTAAACGCATGCAGCTGCTCACGAAAAGCACAGCAACTAAGCTAAAAGTTAAAGTTTCGATACAGAGCGTATCTGTCGGATTTTCACTTCAAAGGAAGTGTAAACTGATCGATTTCTCTTCACTTTAACTCAAGCTGAATATTGTATTAGGTCTTTAATAACATTGATTGATTCTCTTCGTCGACAGCTTTCCATGCTCGGTAATGGCGACATAGAATTTCAAACTTCTTGGCAAATTTTCTTGATGACATTGTCAATGTCAGAGTTGAACCTGAGTTCGTCATCAGCAAGGCATTTGACCGCATTGACATACCAATGTTACTCTTTAAACTGCAAAAAATTGGAATCAAGTCAGGGCTCCTGAAATGGCTTGAATCATATTTAACTAACCGCCAACAAATAATTAAATTCAACGGAAAGAAATCGAGCCCAATTCAAGTCACTTCAGGCGTCCCCCAAGGCTCTCATTTGGGACCTCTCCTTTTTATTCTATACGTAAACGACATATCTTACATTCTCAAAAAACTTAAATTGCTTATTTATGCCGACGACATGAAGCTCTTTTTGGAAATAAGAAATGAAGAAGACATCAATATATTCCGGAATGAAATACACATATTCTAAATATGGTGCAAAAAAAGTCTACTACAATTTAATGTAAAAAAATGGAAATTAATATCATTTAGCAGGAAAAGAACAACTTCAAATATATCAATTGCACTAGGAAATCAAAATGTAGTAAAATGTGAAAGAGATTTTTTTTTTTTATAATTACTTTATTTGTACAGGCTCAATCGAATAAACTTTACACAGCCGATTTATCCTTTGCGTTATACATTATTACTGTCTTAAATTTAAAGTTAAAGGAACTGGACCGAGTACTCGCGGTTGTCTCGAGGTTAGTGGAGATTTACAATTTTTTGGATGGGAAAAGGGAAGCAGGAGGTTTGAAATGTGGTTTACGATACAACTATTTAATTAATCCTAAAGCATGAAATTATTTCTATTCATCTTGAAAACAAACATTGAAAAAAAAAACCCACACGTACAAAATACAAACTAAACACAAGGTTAATCAAACTTACAATCTAAGGTTAATATCCTTAAAGTAAACATATATGAGTTTCATAAACTCCAGATCGCGTCTAGCCAAAATATCCCGAACTGGAACATTAGGTTGTCTACCTCGAGCCCGAAGGGAATCATAAAAATGTGATCTGACTCCACGATACTCCGCACAAGACCAAAGGATGTGATCAGCGTCCTGGTAACCTTGTCCACATTCACAGAGATTGCTGTCTCCCAACCCCACACGGAACAAGTGAGCGTTTAGACAATAGTGATTGGACATGAGACGAGACATCACGCGTATGAAGTCTCGACTCAAGTCCAACCCTTTGAACCATGCAAACTTCGACACCTTAGGGATAATTGAATGTAGCCATCGTCCCAAGCTCCCTTCACTCCATTGATGTTGCCAGTTAACGAGCGACTGCTGACGATAAATAGAGAAAAATTCACTATAGGCGATCTGTCGATCATAAATGTCGCCTTCCATAGCGCCCACCCTCGCAAGTGAATCCGCCTTCTCATTGCCCAAAATTGAGCAATGCGAAGGGACCCACGCGAAGGTGATGATGAAAGAGCACACGGATAAAGTACTAAGCAGTTCTCGTATTTTCAAGAGAAAATACGAGAAGTGCTTTACCGGCCTAATGGAACGGATAGCCTCGACAGAACTGAGACTATCCGTAAAAATAAAGTAGTGGGCTGGAAGAAGTGAAGCAATAGTTTCCAAAGTGTAGTGAATTGCTGCCAGTTCAGCCACATACACAGAACAAGGAGCTTCAAGTTTTCGAGAGGCGCTATGAAATTCATTAAATACACCAACACCAGCGGACTCCTCTATTAGAGATCCATCTGTGAAAAACGTTCTTGCAGAATTAATATGGCCAAACTTTGCAGCGTATAATGACGGAGCAATCATAGGACGATGATGCTCTGGAATTCCGCGGATTTCCTGTGTCATAGATAAATCAAAATTCACTGAATTGCCGAAATCGGAGAAGATTACACGATTGGGAATATTTCTTGAAGGGCTGACATCCTGTGTTAAATATAGGTAGTATAAAGTCATAAAACATGTTTGAGGATTTAGCTCCAGAAGCTTCTCAAAATTTTCGATCACCAGTGGGTTCATTACTTCGCAACGGGTGAGGAGCCTCAGAGATAACTCTGAAAAACGGACGGATAGTGGCAACATGCCCGCCAGCACTTCGAGACTCATAGTATGAGTCGAGTGCATGCATCCTAACGCGATACGAAGACAACGATACTGGATCCGTTCCAGCTTGATGATGTGCGTTTTAGCTGCCGACTGGAAGCAAAAACTACCGTACTCTAAAACCGATAAAATCGTTGTCCGGTACAACGTCAGAAGATCTTGTGGATGGGCTCCCCACCACGTTCCGGTAATTGATCGAAGGAAATTGATCCTTAATTGGCATTTTCGTCTCAGATACTCAATGTGGGATCTCCAGGTGCATTTGGAATCGAACCAGACCCCGAGATATTTAAAAGACATGGAATGAGTGATCGGTTTACCCAAAAGTTGAAGCTTCGGTTGTGCTGGGCTATGCTTCCTAGAAAAAACGACCAACTCAGTTTTCTCCGTGGAGAATTCGATACCTAGCTGAATAGCCCAAGTAGACAAATTGTCCAAGGTATCCTGTAAGGGTCCTTGCAGGTCAACCTCTTT